AGGGTATTATGTAGCTCAGGCTTACTTCAAAAGTCATTATGTGGCCCAGGCTGGTCTTGAACTCTCGACACCCCTGCCTCCATCTCTGAAGTGTTGTGAGTGCAGGTGCACACCATCATGCCCCCTATGGGAGGTTTTTTTGTTGTTGTTTTGTTTTGTTTTTTATTTCTGGTGCTCTGACTCCAGTTCTCTCTGGCTGGTGATCTCACAATCCCACCCCCTTCTTGCATCCCATCCGAGCTCAGACATGGAATGCAGCTCTTTCTTCTGCACTCCCCAAAAGGCACTGGTTGCGTTCACCTTTGGTGCCACACTTCAGCGGGACCTGAGGTGGGGAAGGCGTGGAATCCCAGTCCTCTAGACATCAGCTTGTTCCTAAGAGGCCTCCAACCTCGCTGCCTATCCTGGCTGTCTGAACTCCCTTTTCTGAATCCCCAAGTCTTCTCTGTTATTTTGGTAGATAAGCTAAGTCAAAAACAAGTTGCAAAACCTGCCCTCCTGTTTCAGAGAATTCAGACGGTTTCTGCCTGTAAAAATAAGCATTCTTAGTAATGGAAAATATGCTTTGCAAGTTTTTTTCAGTTTCCATTATTAAACCCCGAGGGAGAAGTTGTATAATGGAGACTCAGCTTGGTATTTCTGGCTGCTAATTCTCCTTACATGCCTAGCCTTTCTCTTGTGAGCAGAAACTAGGCTGCTCTTTCTTTTTCCTTTGTCTTTTGCCTCTGGTTGGTTTATTTGAGGCACAATATCCAGTGGCCCCAGCTAGCTGGGAACTTGCTATGTGGCTAAGGATGATATTGTCCAAGCCCTCTTGCCTATGCCTCTCCAGTGCTGGGATTCCAGGCCTATGCTCCCATGCTAGTTGATTGTGCTCGCACCTAAACAGCTGTAAGCTGTTCTTACTGATGACAGGGGCTCACAGTCATGCACCCTAGGACTTGCTTCCTGTTAATGTCTTCCTGCTTCCTTTTTATTCACTCACTCTTATTTTTTAGATAAGGTCTTGCTTTGTAGCTAGGGCTGGCCTGAATCACATGATCCCCTACCTCAGCCTTTCAAGGACAGGAATTACAGATGTATTAACTTGCCCAGATGCAAGTTTCTTGGTAAAGGGTGAGACTCCATTTGGGTGCGGTGTTGCACACCTGGAATCCCAGCCCTTGGCAGCAACCTAGTCTCTCTTCGCATGTAGAGGCAGCAGAATTGTCACAATCCAAGGCCAGCCTGGTACACATAGAGAGTTCTAAGTCAGCCTGGTATACACAGAGAGTTCTAGGCCAGGCTGGTATACACATATAGAGAGACCCTGTCTCAAAAAGTGAAGAGAGAGAGAGAGAGAGAGAGAGAGAGAGAGAGAGAGAGAGAGAGAGAGAGAGAGAGAGAGAGAGAGAGAGAGGAACTCTTAGAATTTATGAAGCAGATAGCAGATTGTGAATACGGAACTTCCAGTAATAAAATATGGACTCCTGAGTGTGCTACTCTAACACAAACCCCTAGCGCTTCTCTCAGACTCTCAAATTGCCCGAGCCAGGGTTGTGTAACAGGCTTAGCTCCCCTCTCTGCCTTTGACCCTGATCTGCTTCCACTTCTGTGAAGCATTTGGTTCTCACCCTTCATCCCACGTCTGTCATTTCTCATTCCTCATATTCTGTCCTTCATTTCATCCTTCATCAGTCCTCCCTCATATTTTATCCCTCGCCCTTAATTTCTTATCCTCCATCCCCCATCCCTCTAGGTGGTGGTTCGCTGGGAGTATCCTTGTTATTGCCTTAATGCTGATAAACCAAACCCAAACTCAGCCAGTGTGCAGTTGGTCAGTGTCCAGTGTTACAGTGTCAAAAACCAGGAACTAACACTGAAATGCTGCAAAGCAAAAAAACTTTAAGTTTTTACAGCTGGGCCGAACTTACAGTCTCCTAAAGATTAGGACAATGAAGAGGCCTTGACTAAAGGTAAGGGGGCCTTTTGTAGCAGGATGATTATAAAAGTGGAGCTTGCAGTTAGCAGGTTTTTGTTTGTTGGTTTGTTTTAGTTTGACAAGACAAGATTTCTCTGTATAGCCTTGGCTGTCCTGGAACTTGCTCTGTAGACCAGGCTGGACTGGAACTCGCAGAGATCTTCCTGCCCCCTGCCTCCTGAGTGCTAGGATTGAAGGCATGAGCAGTTAGTTATTTTTAAGACTATGAGAAAAGCACATGTGGTGGGTTTATGGTCAGCCATAATGGAAACAATTTATGATGTGTACATCACAAGATAATAGAGGAAGAACAAGTCTAAAACCAAGCTGACTTGTAGTTTAACTTTCAGTTTGGGGTACGATTAAGGAAAACACCATAGGGAACAATAGAGAAATAAATCAAATTTGACTAAAGGAAAAATGGAGTCAGCTGTTTCTTAACATCCAGGTAACTCAAATGTCAGGTACCCAAAGCCAGGGGTACTACAGCAGGAATCCCTTTCACTTGTTTCTAGGTGTGAAAAATGGGTTGAAAACACATATGAAAGCTTACTGTATATCTGCTGTTGGTCAGGGATTCCACCCTTGGGCATATTCCCAACACATGTGGGTACTTCTACCCACCCAACATTAGATGCTGTCAGGTTATTTCCTGTATGCCATTTTAAGCTCTGTGGTAAATTCAGGAGCAAAGTTGTATTTACAGGGCCAACAATCTAATTACAGGACCAATCTAATTAGAGAGCAAGACTCATAATCTAACTACAAGTTTACAGTCCAATCAGAAATGTATAATGTCATTAGAGAGGCAAGATGCACATAAATAAAATATCCGGAGAATTCAATATTAGCCTTTTGCTTTTTAAGTGAAAGTCAGGAGAAAGAAAACTTAGGAATGAAGTATTAGTGATTTCTTTGTTGCTGTTGTCCTGAGAAAGGATCTCACTCTGTAGTCTAAGCTACCAGGTTATCCTCTTGCATCAGCCTGCTGCCTGCTAGGATGACAGACATGGTGCACTGTGGGTATGGGGGGTGCTGTGCTGTGGAGACACTTGAAGGGCAGAGGGCAACTTTGGAGAGTTGGTTCTCACCTTCCACCTTGTCCACACAGGATCCTTCTTTGTTTTTTTTGCTTCAGCTCATGCTCCAGGGTAAGGTGGGTGGCCCAAGAGATCCAGGGACACGTCCCTGTCTCTACCTCCCACCTCCCAGAAGTGATGGACTACAGCATGAAGCTTTTGATGTGGGTCGTGGGATCTGGACTCAGCTTGCCAGGCTTGCAGAGCAAGTGTTTTTGCTCAGTGAGTCATCTCCCCGGCCATTGTTCTGTTTTTGGTATTAACTCACTAACTAATTTCTTTATTGAGACAAGGTTTTACTCGGGCCCCTTGTTCTGTTTTTGACATTTATTCATTTATTGAGACAATGTTTTACTCTATAGCCCAGAATGGCCTAGAACTCAGTGTAGATCAGGTTGGCTTTAAGTCATGGTAATTCTCCTACCTCAGCCTCCAAAGCACTAGAACTACAGACTTGAGCCACCATTGCTTGGCTAGTTGATTTCAATAAGAACACCTGAGCTAAATTTTAAAAGTCAGGATGGGAGGCAGGGTACCAGACATTTTTTGACACTGTTACACTTTTTGAAATGACCATTAAAAACACCTTTTCAAGAACTGAAGCAGGGGTATTTCTCAAATTGGGGAAGTAGATTGATGAGAAATAGAGGTGTCTCATGAGATCTAGGCTGGACTCTAACCCTTGGGACTAGCAAGACAGACATATATGAATCAGAGCATCAAGGGGATCAGAAGGCATTAAGCCTAGAACTAAATTCTATGCCCTAGACATGCAGATCCTTGCTCTGTATAAAGCAGACATTAATGTTTTTCCTGATACAACCAAAATCGTTTATGGTAGAATGACTCATCTCCAGAAAAGTACAACAGTCAGGGGTAGACAAAGTTCTTGGGCTTTTCTTCTGTTAGACCACAGTTGTGTATCTATAACACACACATGCCCTCATGCATGCACACACACCCTAGCTCTGACCTGGCAGAGAATTCTGTTTATCTAAAGCTCCTAAGCCCCTTGCTTGTGTCTAATTGGTGGAGCTGGGAGAGGAGCAGTGTAGTTGGCAGACACACAAAGATGAATAGCCACAACAGCCTGCCCACCCTCGTGTCTCCAGAGGAACTTAAGACTTCCCTCCTGTACTCCGGTAATTGCTTTTGGAAAGACTTGCCAGCCACATGAAAATCAAATCAAATTTCTAATCAAGCAAATTAAAAATTCCAGGCTGCATCCCTGATGGTTGTAGACATCATTTAAAAGAAAATCTGGGCCTGGGCTTCTGATATTCCCTGAGCAGCTGCTCTGATGCTGTGACCCTTTTCTTCTCAGAAGGGAGTAAAGGTATGCTTTCCATTTTGTTCTATTCAGCTAAGGGTATCCATGTACCTAGCTATCTCTATCTATATATTAGGCAGTTATTTTTTGAGATGGGTTGTCTCATAGCCTAAGCTGGCCTCAAACCCCCTATGTAGTCAAGTATCTTGAACTTCTGATCCTCCTGCTTCCATTTCTCCAATTCTGGGATTATTATTATTATTATTATTATTATTATTATTATTAATATGTGCATATTACCACATCAAGTTTGCCTGTGACTAGGTAGAAAACTGTGGAGTTCTTGGTGATATTACAATTATCTCGGAGGATACAGCAGAGTCTACCTTAGGAACAGCAGCTGAGTAGCTGAGGGACTTGTACAAAGAGCCTGTCTGGTGCCCACACCCTGCTTGCTCTTGCTCCTCTATCTTCCAGTGCCTGCTCTCTGCAATGTACATGCTCTCCACTATCTACTCTTACCAGCCATGGGGATTTCTCTTACTTTCAGTCAGCCGCATTTGATCTTCATAGCTCCAGACACTTCCTTCTGCTGTCCTACTAATACTTTGTGCTTTGCTCCGGAGTGCAGTAAGTGGCACAGTCAAGAGAGATACTGAACAACAAGGCTTCCAGGGCTTAGAGAACTCACCGTCTGGACCTGCAGGTGTTCTGGCTTAGGAGGTAAATTGAATTCTTGGATCCAAAGAGGATAGGACAATCGGAGGTTCTTGGACAGCTTTGGATACTGTTTGAGATTCCTGTTCTCAAACAAACAAAAACAACAGAATGCAATCAGTCTTAAAACACCTGTCAATAAAATGTTGAATGCTTCACAGGATTCGTCAGAACGTTGTGCCACCTGCCTTCTATTTCTGTTGGGGAATATCAAACACAATAGAAACCGTCCTGTAGAGCACTTCCTAGCCAGCATTTGGGGTACTTTCAGTTAAACCTTTGAATTCTAGAAAGTTGAATGTAACATTTTCTTAAGTTTTAGTTTTTGAAATAAGCGTGCAGCTGTTGTAAAGATACCTGAGGAATGGCATTGGGTTTAAAGTGAAGGTTCCTGAGAAGGTTTTGTGGGAATCACCTCTGTGGACTATTAGGTGAAATGGTCATCAATTCTTTCAAATAATGTTTATTAAAATTCTTTTGTGTGTCAGGTTGGGGAGGTATCATGCAACTCATGTATAAATATGGCTGACAGTTTTCTAAGGAATGGAGAAATTAGTAAACATCATAGTTGAAAACCAAAGCCAGGTGGTGGTGCCTTTAGGCAGGACTAAAGGTGTACCCCACCACCACCACCACCAGGCTAACAAATGTCTTTATGGCTAGGTATAAGACAGAAAGGCAGGGGAAGATGTGAGTACTATTTTATACTTTGTAGTTTGTGGATATAAGGCTAAGGTTTCTATAGCCTACCTGAGGAAGAGGAGTCAGGAGTCCAATATCCAGTCTGTGGAGAAGGAGGTGGACAAACAGGATGGCTGAGACAGATCAGAAGAAAACAAAGAAGCTGTGAAGTTTCAATCTATCTATTTATCTATCATCTATCTATCTATCTAATTATCTATTATCTATATATCCATCAATCCATGTATATATACATATATATCTGTATCTATCATCTATCTTTTTATCTATATATCTTTTATCTATTTATCTATCTATCCATCAATCCATGTATGTATGTATATATGTATCTATCTATCCATATATGTATATATGTATGTATCCATCCATCCACCTATGTATGCATGTATGTATGTATGTATGTATGTATGTATCTATATATCTCCTATCCTGTCCTGTTTTATTCTATTCTATGTGTATCTGTGTGTAAGGTGTCCAGGTGTGTACACTCTCAAAGGTCAGAAGAGGGCATCAGGTATCTTCCTCTGTGTTCTCAGACTATTCCTTTGAGAAAGGGTTTCTCCTTGAATCTAGAGCTCCTGTCTTCTTGACGTGGATGGAAGTCAGCAATTTCCAGCAACCATTCTCTTTTCCACACTCATACCTGAGGTTAACTGGCATATGTGGGATGCTCAGTTTGTTATATGGGTGCTGGGATCTGAACTCCAGTCCTTATGATTGTGTAGTAAGTGCTCCTAACTACTTTCCCACCTCTCCAGGCCCCACTCCTCATTCTTGAGAGATTACGGGGATGGAGATTAATCTTCCTAGACTACTTCTAAGTAGATACTATGTTGTCCTCCATATAGTAACACTCCTCTGCTGCTAAAGTGAGATAAATCTTAATACCACAACTGATTCCATAGCCTGAATTTCTTTTATAATTGTTCTAGCACAGTAGTTTAAAGCACATCAAATATCTATTTTAAACAACCAAGAAAATATATATTAATGTCCTGAGGAATTCAATCCAACACATAGTTAGGCTGTCAACTTTTATCAACCTGTGCACATCTTATCTGCTGGACCTGTGATCTGAGGACTTGAAAGAATGGGGCAGACCACAGTTTAGTACTATAGACAAGCTTACCTCAGTTTCAGTGCACTTTCATACATGAATATATCAAAGAAAGCAGTGATCCAAGGAAGGCTGTTAGAGTTCAGAAAACCATGATCAGAAAAAACATGTTAATGAACACCAGTAAGCACCTACTAAATATTAACAGAGCAGCCCTTTCTCACAACTTTCTTAAGACAGACCAATCGCCTGACTAGAAATTATTTCTGGGGAAGCACTAAAGCAAGGCAGAAGGCCCTATTCAGACTCAGGGCACTAGGACCAGATTGGGTTCTGTGGCTATGTTCTGACAATCAACAAGAATGGACATGTTTTATAAATTGAATGTAAATATTTGTCACAGGGAGGCACAACAATCACATCTAAGAACAATACAGGGAATAAAAGGTATCTGAGGGAAAAGGCCTTCTTTTCCTGGAACATGTATGTGTCATAGTTCTCCAAGTTCTCCATTGTTCACCATACATCATTCTTTTGACTATGTTCCAGCATAGGCAAACAGACCAACTGAGCGAACAAAGCAACGGGGAATTTACTTTAGTGTCTTCTGACACCATCTGATACAAATGTGATTTTAGGCTCTAACTACAAAGAACAGAATTAGTCAGAAGACTAAACAGACAATAGGCTGCTTGGAACTACTTACTGTTTTATACTTATTTTCATACGAGTTTTGGTTCCTGTTTATAGAGCTCGATATTATTAGGTTCACTTGAGTCTTAAAAAAAACATTTTGCATGAAAAGTGGTGGGTTTCCTTCTGGCATTTTCATACATATAGTTTGTTCTCATTTGCTTTCTTGGCACACTGACCCCACCCTGGCACCCACTTCTTCCTCCAGATGGTTATCTTCCTTCTCCCCAGAGTCTCTCTTCTGCTTTCAAATCATGTGTTTATTAACATATCCAAATATATGTCCTTTTCATAGAGTCTAAGAAGCTAAGTGCAAAGTTGAACTTATGTCTCCCTCTCTTTCCCCCTCTCTTGATATCTTTCCTTCCCTCTCAGAGAGAGACAGAGAGAGAGAGAGACAGAGAGAGACAGAGAGACAGAGACAGAGAGAATGTCTTTTGAATTTTGTGCCCTCTTTATATGGTATGATGAACCTAAGAAGTCATGCTTGAAGTGGCTTCTTCCTACTAAATTCCCTGAAGGAGACTACAGGGTGACTTTCAGCATGACTGTCCCATTTTTAAAAATCCTCTTCACCACCCTTTTGTTGCTAAAAACAGTAAAGAGAATTTCTACCAGTCAAGAAAGGTTGGTATCACAATCCACAGCAGCATCTGGTGGTCTTCTGTAGATACTAGAACACTCTGAGACACAAAGCAGCTTCTCAGGGCCCTCTAATTAGCATTCTCTATGGTCCTCCTTTATTTGCTCAATCTTGTAGTTCTGTCCTATCCATTCTAGTAATTTTACATGAGGATAAAATCTTGTTCTATCATATGGAAATCATGAAAACGTTTTCTTTATCTGGTTGGGTATGGTGTTGCAATCCTTTAATCCCGGATACTCAGGCAGCTGCACAATGGGAATCATTCACCAGCTCTGGGACAGCTGGGGCAACTTCCTGAGTTCCTGTCTCAGCATTAAAAGTGAAAAAGAAGGGTGGCAGAGTACTTGCCTAGCATGCACAAAGTCCTTAGTTCAACATCTAGTACCACAAAAAGTTGTATTTCCTCTTTTTAGTTTTTCTCAGCAAAAATACATTCTCTAACATTAACTGGAATTTTTTTTTACTACTGCTACTACTATTGTTATCATTATAAAAATTGTGCACAGTGTCTCAGGGTGGCCTTGAACTCACAAATTCCCTATCTCTAACTCATGAACACTGGAATTATGGCTGTGTGCTGCCAGGCTTTTTAGAAAAAAAAATGCATGTTAGCTAATTATTTATTTATTTTTTTGCAACGTGAAACAAGTCAAGATTATATGGGGAGAGGGAATACGAATTGAGAAAATGCGTTCGTCAGATTGGCTTGTGGACAAGTGTTGTGGGATCCCGCCTGTGTCCTGTTGCTGCTTTAGCCCCCAAATAGCACAGGAGACACTATATTAATTATAAAGCTGTTTTTGGCCTTTTGCTTTGTATCTTATTGGCTAGCTCTGACTTAATTATTAACCCATAATTATTAATATATATATTTTTATAAGGTCTTTTCTTACCCAGAACTCAGACTTGAGTCTTTTCTTCCCAGGAAGAGCACATGGCCACTCCTCTTCACTACATTTCCCAGAATCCTCCTAGACTCCTAGTCTCACCTATCTTGCTTCCCTATTGGCCAACAGTGTTTTGTTTACATAAACACAGAAGGACTTCCCCCATTATCTCCTCTTTTCTGTCTAAATAAAAATAAAGGTTTTAACTTTAACATAGTCAAGTTATACATAACAGAACAGTTATCAGTAAGAACTATAGTTACAATATTTAGTTTATTAACATTTAGTAAGATTTAAAGAAAGTATTTCATCCTCTATCCTATCTGTGTGAGTCTAAAGTCTTATATGTAGCTTATCTTTTATCATAACTAACGAAAACTATGATTATAACTATCTGTCTTCAACTCCATCAAAGACCACAGAAGGATAATATATAAACACTAGAATTGACAGAGACAGACAAGGCTTTGGGGCATTTTCTTGATTAATGATGGATGTGGGTGTGCCCACCCCAATGTGGGTAGTGCCACTCCTGGGCAGGTGATCCTGGGTTTTATAAGCAAGCCACTAAGCAGCACCCCTCCATGGCCTCTGCATTAGTTTTTATCTCCAGATTCCTACTTTGAGTTCAGCTGACTTCCCTGAGTGAAGGACAACACTTTAAGTGGGAAATAAACTCCTTTATTCCAAGTTACTCTTGGTCAAAGTGTTTATCACAGCAACAGAAAGCAAACTTCCACATGACAGAGCAAAAGTTTGTCCTAAAGTAGAGTGAAGAAAAGGGATTGGAAAGAGTGTAATTGGACTTTCTTTGGACTGCCAGCTCCCGAATAATGACACAGAGACATTTCGTTAATTATGAAAGTTTGACCTTAGCGTAGGCTTTTTCCCAACTAGCTCTTTAAACTTCAATTAACCCATTTATATTAATCTACATTCAACCACATGACTCATTACATCTCCTCATTACTGTATGTCAGACCTCCTCTGCATCTGGGAGGCAAACTTCCCACCTCAGATTTTTTTCATGGTTCTTTGCCCAGAAGTACTGTCTATCCTCCCCTGCCTAGCTATTGGCTATTTAGCTCTTTATTAAACCAATCAGAGAGTGTCTTAGGCAATAAGAACAATTATCAGGTAAGAATTACATTCACAATGTCCAGTCTATTTGTATTTGACAACTTTGGAGAAAGTACTGTATTATCTATCCTATCTTGATGAGTTCAAAGTTTTGTACCTAAATTACTTTTTATCCTAACTTGTATTATCATCCTAAAACATGTTTTAGACCTTAAAGCATTTTCTTAAATAAGCAACTTAAACTTTTATGTCTTTCAATCTTTACAAAATTTATACCTCTTTTGTAAGTTTCTTTTCTGAATTTGGTAACAAGGAAAACTGTAAAGCTATAAATATCTAGTCTGCAATTCCATCAGAGACCTGAGAAGGACATAGTATGTACAGAGCAAGCAACTTCCAAACTATAGAAATGACAGAGACCTGGACAGTCACCCAAGATTCCTCTGCAATGTTGGGACATTCCTTTTTTGTCTAGAATATCTGACAGAAGTTTCTGCTTTAATTTGGTAGCTTTTCCCCCACAATTCAATGTCTCTCAGCAGCTGTTGGTTTTTTGCTTATTAGCATTTACAAAATTTAAAAGTTAATGAAGCACTATATAGAGTTCAGATACCCTGTGTTATAATATTTTCCCTCCCAATAAATTTCTTGAATGAGATTTAATGTGCAGTGTGACATTTTTGGGGGAGTAGAGCCCAGCTACAACTCTCATCTGAACTGGATTGGAGCAAAACTGTAGCACTTTCACTGGTGAATCTTTCCCCTAGCTGAGCAGAGTTGTTATACTTCAAGCACCAGAGCAGAGTTGTAAAAATTTCATCGGGATAAAATTTCCCCTAGCAGAACAGAGCTGTAACACTGCTCTGGAGCAGAGCAGAGCAGAGCTGTAACAACTTCCCTGCTGGAGCAGAGTTGTTACACTTGCTTTGGGGAAACATCTCCCTAGAGCAGTGCTGTAAGCTGCTAGTCTATTGTGGTATTCTTTGGCTCCTGACTGCCGGAATGCCTTTCCATCTGGACAACAATGCTTACATTTGTTACTGTGACTCAGATAGGCTCTCCTGGTGCTCCCTCTCATGATCTGAGCTGCACTGGGACTCTATCCTTCATCTGTGGTCCACCCACAATGGACTCACCTTTGGGGGGGGTCACTGATGGCTCAGCACACCATCCACCAAGATCAATTGGGTAAGTTTCCCCTTTGATCAGTGTAAACATTTCCCTGAGTTTGAGGAAGTAATTGTAGAGTATCCAGCACCCCTCTGGATGCAGAGATACCACCAGATATGGTCTTTAATGCTACAGCTGGCTCTCTTCACCTGACCCAATTCCATCCCTTATGCCCAACTGGGCTATGGTGCCCCTTCCTGTCTTCTTCTCTGATCTTACCTCTGGAACTGCCTGTAATCCCACAGCTTTTCTAGGCCCTCATGGCTTTTGTGACCCCATTCCTGACTCTTTCCCATGGATGAGATCCCCCCCCCCACTCTTAGATCTTAGTTTTTGTCCTTGCTTTCTGGCCTCTATGAAAGCCCTGGTACGAGGCTCTGAGTCTCTCTTCTGGCTTAGCCAGGTTAAACTTCTGATCCCCATTGAGTGTGGTGATGACCCTCTGAACAGCTTGGTCCTTGTTTGGTGCTGCCTAAGTCCTGGGGATGTCCATAACTACAGGCTACAGTGACATTTTCCTCCTGTCATCCATGTGAATGGTATCTTCCATACCATCTCATTCCTCCTTGAGATGCCTTTTAGAAAACCTCTAGTCTCTACACCTTGCACCCAACCTGAAGGGCCTTAAACTTGCTTGCCTTTGCTATCAAATTTGTCCCCAATACCCCTTAGATAATCAATCTAAATGTCTGTGTAATGGCACCCTAGATCCTAATTTTATTGAGGACCTTTACAACTACTGTGAGCAAATGGGGAAATGCAAAGAGATTCCCATTCCCTGTATTCAAGCTTTCTCTCTTCTCTACTCTAGCCCTATTTTTTTTTTTTTGGTTTGGTCTACACACACACACACACACATACATACATACATACATACACACACACACAAACACACACACACACACACACACACACACACACACACACACACTGGGTAAACGTCCTGTTATTTTTTTTAAGTTACTGTGGATTGATCTGTAAGTTTGTTGCAAAGTGAGCTGGGGCCTAGGGGAAGCCAGAACCTAGCACGAGGACAGGAAGCAAAGGAGTAGGCCCTGTGCAGCATGCACACACCTGGCGCACACTCCTCCCTAGCTGGCGCATCTCTCATCTCTTTCCTGCAGCATCTTATATCTATGACTAGGAGTGAA